TTGCACTTGGGTTTATCATAAAATGAGCTATGAGACAGGAAACCACACTTTTTATGAACTAATAATATTACTTTATATAGGGGAAGGATTTCCTAATTTCTGTTCCTACACAAACAGCACTCTGTTCCCTGAAGCTGGAGGTACGTACTGCTGGGAGCTCCATGCTGGGGCTTGGAGATGTAGGTGGTGCAGAGTAAAAAGTGATACTGGTAAAGGCTGGAACTGTAATGTAGCAGGACATCCTTTTGGATCCCTCAGCACCACATACATACATGCTAAGGAACATGTAAATTAACCTGTTGCAAAATGGAATGGACCTTTTGAAAATGGGTCAGTAGCACTAAAGGGACATTTCCGAGTTTTTGGCCACTGTGAATGCAAGCAACTACCTGCAAACTGGACTGGTGTATGCTATGTGGGAACAATCCACCCAATGTTCTTTTTGCTCCTGGGGAAAGGTGCTGATGAATTGGGTGTCAAAGTATATAAAGATCTCATACAACAACAGTGGTTCATTGACATCTCCATAACAAGTGGTAATAGCCAAACTTAGCCACTAAAGTAAAGACAACTGGCCACTGCAGCACATAATCAAAAGCTACGGGCTGGCTACACGCAACTCCAATGAATGGATGCTTGAGAACCCTTTTATAACCTGAACTGCATGATCAGATTACAATCTGAAACATCTTATGTCTTTGATCTCCTTGCAGAGCAAGCCACAAGCAGCAGTACTTCAGCATCGCAGGACTCTCAGCTACTCACTGGCTGAAGGAGGAGGTGTCTGTGGCAAACTGAATGATTCTAATTGTTGTCTAGAGATTGACAACAATGGTAATGTTATTTTGCAAATAGCTAAAGGTATACAGAAAATAGCCCATGTTCCTATCCAAACTTGGAAAAACATAGACTGTCATTTCTTTTCTTGGCTTCCAGGTGGCCCATGGGTAAAATGTGTTATATTTTTATCTACTTTGTGCTACTTATGCCCATACTATGTTTCAATCCGTTTATTCAAGGCATGGTATCTTTTACGAATTCTGTAACCTCTTCCACTGTTAGGGAATCACAACAGATCAGGGCAACATTAGTGACCAAGCCCAAGAAATCTTCTGTAATGATTGTATAGAACATTTGATATCCCCCTCCCCATTCTTTGCTTATATATAATTTTTTTCTCACTACCATTGATCACCAATGCATCATTTTAAGCAAACTTTGAGTCATGAGGTGCTCAAATGACATTTGACCTTGCTTGCGTCTCAGTCTCACTTCAGGTATATAAAAAAATCTCCCCTCTTGCTCTGATAAACGGAGCAAAAAAAATTTATACAACAGTCGATGCACAAACAATTGCTCACTACCCTACCAATAGCCCACCTGTCCCTTAAGTGGCAGAAGAGAGAGATGCACTCCTTTAAAACTCCTTCCTTGTGATTCAAATGATGTGGAATATCCCTTTGGCAAGTTTAAGTCAGCTGTTCTAATTCTTTCCTCTCCCAGCTTTTTGGGCTCTTTGTTGCAAATTGCCTTGGCTTCCATTGCTGTAACAACCCCGACACGGTTGGAGGCATCCACAACCTTGATGAGCAAGCTGTTCCAGTGTCTCAACACCCTCACAGTAAAGAATTTCTTCCTAATAGCTGATCTAAATCTACACTCTAGATATCAAGAGGAAATTCTTACCTGTGAGATGTGAAATCATTCTTCTTTGAGGCGACTTGACAGAGAAGATTTACAATCAGACTGTAGTCCAAATATCTCCAGAAACCCATAATGCCTAAAAAAGCTCATGTTTCCTTTCTGATAGTTGGTTGAGAATAGCAGTTATTGTATTGATCACATCCATGGGAATCTGATGGCATCCAAGTTGCCACTTTATTTCTAAGAACTGGATCTCCTGTGAAAATCCACTGACCTTGCTTTGGTTTAAAGCAAAACGGGTTTTTAGTGGGATGCCACTAAAAGGCAATCCTGCCTTTCTCAGAAAGTTCTTCTGCTGTGTTGCCCACATGATGATGCCATCCATGTACTGCAGGTGTTCAGGAGCTCCCCGCTGTTGCAGCTCACCCTGGATCAGCCCATGACAAATGGCAGGGCTGTGTTTCCACCCCTGAGGCAGTCGATTCCAGGTGTACTGGATGCCCCTCCAAGTAAAAGCAAACTGTGCCCTGCACTCTGCTGCCAGAAGGACTGAGAAAAATGCATTGGTGTTGCGGCACATCACTTGGCTGCCTCTGACTCCAGTTCCTATTGAAGTTCTAGCACGTCTGGCACAGCAGTGCTTAGCAGTGGTGTGACTTTATTCAGGCCACAGTAGCTCACCATTGTCCCCTACTCTCCACTGGACTTTTTTGCTCATCAAACAGCACTATTGAAGGGTAAGTCTTGCTGACTACTCCATGGTATTCCAGCTGGTGAATCTGCTGGCGAATGGGAATTAGGGAGTCCTGGATGGTGTGATACTGCTGCTGGTGCACCACTGTAATAGCAGTTGGCCTCTGCTGTCCTTTTGTTCTTTGAAATCCCACAACAGAAGGGTCCTGTGAGAGACCAGACAAGCCCATCAATATCCTTTTGGGTCCTTGAAGTACCCTGTCCAGAGATAATCTACACTGAGGATGCACAGGGTCTCAAGGCCGTTTGCAATGCAGTGCTTTTCTCACTTAGTTCTGGTTAGGCTCACTTCAGCCTCCAAAGCTCTTAAATCTTTGGATCTCCATCACTGCAGAAATACAAATGGCTTTTGGCCCTTTATAACTTGATGGCATTAGAGTACATGATTCCATCCCAGCTGAAACTAGGGCATATGGGTAAAGCCTTGTCATGACTTCAATTAATGACATCTCATTAGTTGAATCAATTTTTTCTCATGAAAGTACTTAGCAGTAGGAGGTGCCGGGACTTTACACCCAGAAGATAACCAGTAGGTCACCATTAGAAAAGCAGGGCTAATCATGACTGACTAACCACGACTAGATTAGAAAATAGTTAGAGGGCTTGTAGGAAATCTAGCAGTAATTTTGCGACAATGTTGGTGGTTTCTACAGAAGTATATCAGAGATCATCCCAAAAGTATTTGAGCTATGCCATGTCAAGTTGTATGCAGCATTCTGTTACGCAGTATCCTTCATTTCTGTCAGAAAATAGACTGCTTTCAGTAGTCATAAATTGGGTACATGCTGGGTTCTACATGAATGATTTCACTAATAGCTTATTATAACTATTTATTCACCTATTTTATTTATAGCTGCTCAAATAATGTCATTGATGAACAGCAGCTGAACACACTATTAACTTTAAACTTATTCAACAACTTGTGCACTTCTTTCTTCCTGGTTTGGTGGTGACTCGCCTGGGGATTCAGACTGCATTACTTTGCCATCTTCAAAAATCATATGATGCTGTTGCTCATACAGAAACTGCTAAGCAAAAATCACCAGCAGGGATGCTTTTAAACATCATTGTTAGGAGAGCTTCTGCTTTAGCGAGATGAAAATAACATGTCAAGAGATGTGAGGAAAGTCAAGAGGAAGGACACAGGATCTTTTGGAAAATGGCTTCCTTGAAATTGTTTGAAAGTTCTGAGAGATGACAAAGAAAAATATATGTATATGCACACTAGCAAATGATTTCAGCCGAACACTGCACGTTTTGTAGAGGTAAAAAGTGCATAGATAACTACATGTAAATCAAGACAACAAGAAGCATGCTGTCAGCCTGTCTATTCGTATCCCAGTCCCACACCCGCTCCAGAGGCAAGCTGTTTGCCACCGTATGAGACTTTATACCACACACAGAAACACGGCTCTGGGCGAGGTTTCTGCTTCCCCTGCCCTGCTTTATCCTGAAACATCATAGGTTGCCAAAACCCTCAGAGCATTCACAGCACCAGTCAGTTGCAGCCAGGCAGGCGGTCCTGGAGCTGGATTTGGCTGTGTGCCCTCCCCGTGCAGCTCGCAGCCAGTGGGAGTTAGAGGTACCCAGCACAGGTCCTACCACCCAAATGTGCCACCTGTTCACAGTCACAAGAAAAGCCACCGGGGTGAGGGATTTCTGGCAGCTGTTTTCTCGTGCCCCACAGATTCATCTCAGCATGTTGCTGGAAGGAGTGCGTGCTCGTACTCAGCACGGGCTCTCACTTCAGAGGCCAGGCAGAGTTGGGCAGCATCCCACCAAACACTTCTGGTGCACGTGCATTTTTTTACGTCAATCAAATCAAATGAAGAACCTTTACTTCTCGATTTAGCCTCCCGTGTGTTTGCTGGGCAGCAAGCAGCGGTGGGAACAGACTTGTGAGAAACTTTTACCAATTGGTGGCATGTACGAACACTCTTCTTATAGGGTCCTCCAGGCAGCACCGTCCAACCGAGCAGGAGCCAGCGCGGCCTCCTCCCACGGCATCGTAGCGTGGCCGGTAGCGCCAAGCGCTGACTTTCCGCACAAAAACTCGGCACTACCGCCGCCCCCTCGGACTGGAACGATGCCGTGAGAAGCGCTTCCCCGCGGAGCGCTGCTCCGGACTGGCGCTTCTCTCCAGCGGTACCGGAGCGCGCGCCCCGCGCCCCGCGTCCGCCAGCTGATGCAGCCACGCGCACTTCGGGCAGCGACGGGGGAAGGAGCGCCGCTTCCGGAGCAGCCGGCAGCCTCTCCCGCTCCGGGAGCGCGGCGGGGGAGACGCGGCGGGGGTGACGCGGCGGCGGGCGCTCCTCCCCCGCTCCCTCTCCGGACTCGGAGCGGAGCGAGCGGGCCCGGGGCCGGGAGGCGGCGTGGGAGGGGCGAGGCGCAGGCGCGGCGGGTTGCAGCTGAGCCCCGCGCCGATCCCGAGAGCCGATGGCAGCTGCACAGCGCGGCCGCCCGGCGGAGCGCGGCGCAACGCGGCGCCCTCGGCGGAGCGCGATGCGCTGGCGGGCGGGCGGCGGCGGCGGCGGCGGCTGCGGCAGCTCTGGGAAGCGAAGGGACGCGGCCGGGCGGCACCCCTGCCCTGCGTCCCCCCCCATCCTGGCTGTGCCGGGCTGTCCCGAAGGATGTCCGCCCAGTCTAAGGGGACCGCATCCTCTTCCTCGTCGCCGTCCGAGGGACCGCCGGCAGCCTCTAAAACGAAGGTGAAGGAGCAGATCAAGATAATCGTGGAGGATTTGGAATTAGTCCTGGGGGACCTGAAAGACGTGGCCAAGGAACTTAAGGAGGTGAGAAGCGCAGGGAGCGGACAGCTTCGTGGCCGGTCCCCGGTCTGTCCCCCCGGGGTCGAGCATCCCCGCCCGTGGGCCGGGTGTCCCGCTCCCATCGGGGCTCCGCTGCCGCCTCCGTTCTTCCACCACTTCGGCGCGGTGGTCCCAGCAACTGGTGGCCGGGCTGCGCGCGGGGCCGTGCCCCGAGGCGGGGGGGACTGCGTCTGCCTGCAGCGCGCAGCGCTCCGGGACTGGCGGCGCGGATGGAGCGCGGCGGCGCCGAGGGGTTCGCCCTGCGGTTCAGCGGCCGGGCGGCTCTGTCGGGGTTCCTCGCCTCTCGCCCCCTCCGGTGCTGGTGAGGGTCGGTGGTCCCGCAGTCCGGATGCGCGTCCCTTCTCGGCTTGGCGCAGCGGCGCGACGGACGGGAACCTGCCTACCTGCCTCTCCAGGCTGCTCCGAGGCCAGGCAGGATTGCCCTCGCTGTCTTCCTATTGCCGGTGGCGGGTGTCACCTCTGTTCCGTTAATCTGCAGGCGGAGCGCGGTGACTGCGGGAGCTGGGAAATGCTGTAGCTGAAGAAAAACTCCTGTTTGTTATCTTGATTTTGCAACACAACTGGGCGACAGATGGTTGGATTATGCTCCGAGTTCAAATCCAGGATCTCAATGCATTGCTTTATAATCCTGGATTTGACATTTTTAAGAGGCTGTGTCTTTTGCTATCAAATATTAGTTTTCTATTTTAATAACATTGTCAACAAGTTTTATACAACGGGCTTTGGCCATCATAGGCGGTCTGAAATTCACCCAGTGCTTTGTATGAGGCTGATGTGTGCATCAACACACTGCTCATAGCTGCTGGGCATCTCACTCACAACTCCAGATTTTAAGAAAACACAATTTCTCTCTTCCTTAAAATGCAACTGTCTGTGCTTCTTTAGCTTTGGTTTGGATATTTTAAAGTAGAAGCAAACACTGTCTGTAGGACTGTTCTGCAAACGTTCACAGACTGATAGAGCAAACTGTCTCCTGTTGGTGCAGAAGCACATTTTTCAGGACCTGGAAAGGATGTCCTGTGAATGTAAATCATTCTCTGCACAGCATACTCCCAGCTTTCCTCCAGTGAGCAAACAAGATCTCTGTTGGTGGAGGTCATGTGTCCTTATTTACTGTGGCGTGTTTTATCTAAGCAAACGGGTCTATTCTGTGTGACTGCATTTGTGAAAGAGAATGGGATTTACCTCTGCTTAGTGGGGAAATGGCTTGTGTAGAACTTCTTTTTCCAAACAGAAGTCAAATGTAAAAAGGAAGCTGTAGGAAAATGGTCCTGTAACTTCACTTATGCACCGTAGTGTGTGCATTGAAAGGTGATAGGATTGCAAATCCTTTTTTTTTTTTTGAGAGCAAACACATACAGATATATTTTAAAAGGGTAGTGAACTCTTGTTCATAATCACACATGAGCTCCCGAGTAACGTTTTTCTTTAAATATCTCATAAAGATGATATCTCTGATACTCTGACAAGTGAGGGTTGATATGCAGTTACCTGCTTTTTTACAACATTATAATTGTGTTAAATATGCTTTGCACAGCATTCATTTTGAAAAGTTGACAGAAGTTTGCCGTGTGAGCACCTCAGGTTTTTGCCTTTTGTAGTGCGGACTAAAATCTGTACAATGCCTCTTGATGCATCTGCAGTGTATACCTTTTAATGTGAAAGTGAGATAACTGATCTTATAAATTAATAGTCATGCTTTCTTATGGGTGATAGTATGCATGGGCAGGTGTTTCATTAAAGCACGGAGGACTCTGGTCCAACAGGTCAGTTTTGGTGTGTTATGCTCAGAAGTGTATCTGTCCTCGGTCAGTGCTTCCTTCTTGCAGGACCAGGCCAGGAGTTAAACCGTGGGATGTAAGTTTGCACTTCCTGTTTCACTGCAGATTGTGTTTTTCCAAAAATGTTATGACTGTTCTTTATCTTCGCTGCCTGTTTGCTGCATTCAGGCTTTTGTGCTCTCGTTTCTGTTGTTCCTATGTTTGTTCGTTTGTTTGGCTTTTTTTTCCCCCTGCATTGGGTGTAAAGCATTCTGAGAACATTCTGTTTATATCACTGTTACAATAAAAAAGACTTACATTCTGCATTAGTGGAAGGTTACGAGGGTTATTTTTTTCCTTGGTTTTTTTTTTTTTTTTTTTTTTTTGGCTCAGTTGTGGTAATGTTCACTCATAAAAATTTGTCACTTATAGAGCTTTTTTTTTTTTTTCTCTGTTTGTGTCTACCTACTTGTTACTTCTAGTTACCAATAATTTACTTATTTATTACATGGTATTTATTACAGCAGTTTAGGTATTGAGGCAGACTGGATGTTTTCTCATAGTATCCTTCAGCATCCCTTTGTAAAGTTTTATATTAAAAATATTGTCAAATATTGTTGTTTCCTTGCTTCTAAGTAGACAGTTTTTTAACAGTTAGGCTTATCAGACAGGTTAAATGCTAAATGTTCGTACATTTAGCTTTCTATTGTTTACTTACTTGAATGTTTTTGTGCCTGTCCTTTGTTCCAAAGCCTCTTTTAATGGATGCTGTAACAGCTTTTTTGTTTAAGCAGGCAATTGGTGAGAAATTAGGGAGAAGATGAGCTGTTAAACCCGTTTTATGCATTTTCTGCAAAAACACGACAAAATCATGTGTATTAACACATGCATGTGCCAGGAGCTCCACGTCTCTTGGAAGCAGAACATCTCCTTCTCTCCTTGTTTTTGGTCTGCTTAGGTCCGAGGGAAGCACAGGGCCTGGGATTGGAGAAGGAGTGACTGGGAGACATTTTGGGTGGGGTGATCCAAGTGCAGACTGTGAATTCACCTATGGCCTGTGCTGGGGTGCAGTAGGAAGAGGCTCAGCCACTTGTGTCTTCTTGGTAGGAGTGTGTGTTCCTGGCTTTGTGCTGGAAGGGATTACTGTTCCAAACAGATTTGAGTAGCCATTATTTGATGAATATTCCAAAGGAGTGCCAAAAGATTGAGTAACTCTGAATGTTTCTTTAGTCCAGGCTATTGCAAAATTAAGTTGTGAAACCTTCCCCGGAGAATTGGATAAAAGACCTTTTTTCTCTGCAGTAGGCTTAGAAAGATGATTGTTACTAAGTGTTTGCAAGTAAAATTTATCCATCAACTACCTCTGTAATGCAGTGATGAGCTCTATGGGAAACTGGAGGACTGTGCTGGTCTGAGAATGCAGAATGCTCAGGGTAGTTCTCTTGACTGAGTTGAGAAGCATTGTGCATAGGGATGTGCTTGTGTACTTGGATGGCAGGGCATGGAGTTCCTCATTTTTAAGTCTTCGCTGCTTTCACGCTGTGTAATGCTAGACATTTCTGGAGCCTTGTACTTGTTTGTTTACATCAATGAAGTATTCCCTAAATAATTTGATAAATACTTCTAATTGTAGTAAAAACTCATCATGCAAAGCAAATTTCTGGAAGTTACGTGTGAAACATTTGCATAGCTTTTAAGTGGCTAAATGTGCTCCAGTCTTTTATCAAAGGGAAGCAGCTGTGTAGCTATTGACAATGTTTAGGATAATCCAAAATGGAGGTTCAGGAGAAGCAGAAGCCCGAATAGGCATTGCACACGCATCAGTAAATTTCCAGTCTCTCTCAGGCTACCTCCTCAGCTCTAAATCCTTCCAAAATGTCTTGCTGAAGGAATGAATGAATAATCCTCCCTCACTTTACTGCTGCTTTTATTTGCCATAAACATGTGATATATAAAACTTGAGCATGACTTAACAGTGTTTTCCAAATGATGATGGAACTAACAGATGAAAAACAAAACCAGAAAGACGCACAAAGTTTGTTACAGAGGTAGATGACCTGTTTCCATAATCAGGCCAGTCATAATGCTTTCGGGTGTTTGGAGGCATTGGTAATACCCACCTTAGGCAAGATCTGCGGTACGACATCTCATCTATATTGAGCATGTTACACCAGTGTTTTCCATTCCTTTCGAGTTTTAGCTGATGATCCAAATGGCAGTAAGGCAGTTCAGGTTGTTGCATGTTTTTTGGGAATCTAGAAGGCTGCAGAGTGTATCCTACAAGAAGGTTAGAGCAGTGACAGTCAGTGTTATCTCAGTACCTCTGATGCACAGGCAGAAATATAACAGGCAGTGTTACGAAAAAGGTGTTGGGTTCCTATTGCAGCATGAAGTGAGTGGGGTTACCCATAGGTAGGGAACATACTGCATAGATGCCTAGGGGTAGACAGAGCAGTGTTCTTCAACACTTCAATCACTTCCTTCTTTTGAGGCTCATCCCTGCTTCATCTCTTCTTTGGTATCTCTACAGATGTCGTAGAATCATAGACTCACAGAATGGCCTGGGTTGCAAAGGAGCACAGTGCTCATTGAGTTCCAATCCCCTTGCTGTGTGCAGGTCGCCAACCAGCAGCCCAGGCTGCCCAGAGCCACATCCAACCTGGCCTTGAATACCTCCAGGGATGGGGCATCCACAGCCTCCTTGGGCAACCTGTGCCAGTGCCTCACCACCCTCTGTGTGAAAAACTTCCTCCTAATATCTAACCTAAATCTCTCCTGTCTCAGTTTAAAAAACACTTCCCCTGGTCCTGTCACTATCCATCCTTGTAAACAGCTGTTTATGTTTGTCATGGTGCTACAGCTTCTTTTGCTGGGTAGTGGCAGCTGAAGGCAGGGGTTGTTAAACATGTTTCTTCCTACTATTAGGAATCCAGAAAATGCTCTTCTTAAATACAGCTTCTGGATGCCAGCACTCTTAAATGTACCTTTTGAAGTAGGAACATTCCAGTAGACACATGCTCTGTATGGGGCATTTTCTCATGGGTGATACTGAAGCTCTCGTAGTATTTCCATGTCTGTAGCTAGAGTTACAGTCCAGTTCATAGACCAGGACCAAGGCACCTTCTGTCATTTGGCATTGCCTAGTCCAAACCTCACTTTTCTTTTCAGCATCAGACTCTTTTTCTGATTTCTCATTGCAGTCTT